GGAAATGACGTACAGAAATCGGAAGTGAGGTACGGAACGGCTGGATTGGTTACAGGTTGGTGTCTGCCTTATTTGAACACAGTTTGAACACTCAGCAGTGTATGAATGGTTTAAGTATGGCCACTGGGATTGGCCAAGACTCAGCCATCGTTGCAGGCACATACTTCTAAGTTAGGTTTTCAATCTTGTCCACCTATTAAGCTAGGTTGAGATTCCTCCACAAGGACTCAAATATAGGAATTCGGAGAACTTCTCGGGGAATACTTAGTTCGCTTTAACAGAGCAATAGTACAAAGGAGAGGAAGCAAGCAATGTGCCTGAAGATAAAGAGAATAAGTTCATTCACCTGGAACCTGGGATTCATGCAAAGGAAGAATGTAAATTTAGGCAGGAAGTGGAGAGAAAAAAGGAAAGCTTTGAGCATGAGAGCAATAGTATAAAAAGTGGTGGGCTAGTAACATTTGTGTGTGTGTTGGAGGTGGGGGATGAAATTATATCTATATTGATTCTTTGTTCCTTATCTGTTATCTGTCTTATTTTAAAAGAAACAATGGTTCTGGGAAATACCAAAGCCTCCTCCTGTACAGCAGCACATATTCCAAACTAATATGTGCTCCACTGAAACTGTCTTTGCAAAGATTGTATCAGTGAGAAAATTACAGCAGTGGGGAGATCTGATCTAACCCAACCTCTATCTTGCCTGTTCCTCAATTATTCCTGGGCTTTTGGGCCTAGCTAACTTTGAGAGACATTCAGGTTATAGTTTAAATGATAAAACTCAACTTTGTAAGCTACTGAAAGACCCCCAGGCTGTGGGGAGGAGAGGAATCTGAATTCTGCTAAGGTGTAGACTGGTCAGAAGATATGCAACTTCCCAATTACCTTTGCTTATAACCTCACTATGTAGATTGGCCTTTTGAGATATCTTTTCAGGATTTTTGCATGTCTGACACGCATGGCTTATTTGCATGTCTGACACCATTGGACCCATTGACCAATGACTTTTCTGTGGCCCCACCCAGAAGCAACTCAATGCAAGAGGACAGCTTCAACTCCCTATGATTTCATGTTCTCCCCAAGCAATCAGCAGTTAAGCACCCACCCCTTCCCCCTAACTAAAAACAAAAGCAAAAAAAAACCCTAACCTGTGAGCCTTTGAGGAGATTCATTTGAGTAATAACTCTGCCTCCCGCGTAATGTGGTTGGTCTTGTGTCAATTAAACTCTTCCTTTACTTCAATGCTGTGGTCTTTACTTGTGCAGCAGGCAGGAAGAAACCGTTAGGGGGTTACACCATTTCTATCACTACAGTCTCTAGTATGATGTTGAGAAAGCCCAAATAGCAGGACAAAGAGTGTCAAAATTTTCGTAATGTTTGGTTTTTGTGTGATTAAAAACCAGGTCCTGGAACAAGTTATCATAGCCCATTAAGATTCTACTTTTTAAATGCAAGGTGCCAAAAACATCGCTATTGTCTGAAAAGATTCTACAACTACCATTGCATCAAATCCTTTTCAGAGATAAATTGCAAAATACTCAGAGCTGCAATAGAACGTGCACTGTTCAAAGTATAAGGACTTAAGTTACAGGGAAGTACTGTGCCTTGAAAGTGACTGACTTTCCCTCGTGCTCACACCAGGTGACAGAGTGTCAAACCTGGCACAGTCCAGTTGTCATCAATATTCATTAACAACCAGGAAACACACGGAAACACAGCTCTTGATTTTCTATGCAGTGGAAACTCTTTGTTTTAGAGTATGTCTCTTTATAAACAGAATATTTTTCAATATAACAAACTATCAAAATATTTTGTATCCCTTCATTTGTGTAAAGAATACTCCATAGATATAGAATTAAATTTCACAAAATTGAACTGAAATAAGTCTGGGGCTTTTTAAAAATGTGATTAGATAATTTTAGGCATATTATATTTCACATTCTCATGCCGGTTACACAGTAACATTCTGCTAGGAAATTTGCCAAATGTTTTATGCTCATTCCAGTAAGTTAGGTAGGAGAAAACATTTTTTACCCCTAAAAGAATGCAAACACTTCATCATCCATTCACCAGTGTGAAAACAATATTTAAGAAGAAGTTCTCTTCCACCCACGCATCTACTCCTCAGGATAACAGTTTGTCTTATGTGTAAATTCCTTCTGGTGACTGCCACTTGTGTCTTGATTTTAAAAAGCAATGAGCCTACACTCAAAGGCAATCATTTCTACCAGTATCTCGACCTTTCCTCCTCTCCCTTAAATCTGACCAGTGTCAGAAGAGAAGGTATCCTTTCCTCCCTGGCTATCAGAAAGCAGAGTTGTGGTGTGTTTCTCTTCTCCTGATCAGGATGGCTTTCAACGTGTTCACTTTTGAAATTCATTTGTCATATTTGATTAAAGTTCACTGGGATGAGCCAACACTATTTTCATACTTAGAAATGCCACCAAGAGGCTTTATTTAGTTCAAAGTGCACAGAAAACTTCTGACATTCTACAGCATATATTGTCTGTGGCACCTTGTCATGTCACTCTATCATGTATTTTATTATTTTAGTGCTGTGTGCTCTGTGTAAATAATTTCTCCTAAGATTGTAGGCTCCATTTGGGGACAGCACCAGATGCTTCTTTCGTGGTCTTTGGGGCCTGTACCTGTACCTGAGCATTGCAAATACTTGTACATAGATAGATTAACGAATTAAGAAAAGCACTTGTAAATTCTGGACCATTTGTTAGTTACTAGGGAATCAGATAATGAGTAGAACCTTAAAAGTCAGTACTAAAGTAATGCTTTTATTTTGTTTTCGTGGATGAGATAGTGTGACAGATTTGTGTATCTTAAACAATAATTATATCAGGAAGGAAAAGCATAATCATGTAACATCAAACAATATCATGTGTGAGGACAAACAGAAGGATATTCTAGGAATTGAATCCCATATATGCTATACTCATGAAGAAAAATAAAGGTTGGCTTACTTTGTGCTCAGCCTGAGGCAAGACAATTCAACTGGGTCATGTTATAGACTGAATGTTGTGACCCCCGCAATTCATATGTTGAAGTCCTAACTCCCAGTGTGGCTGTGTTTGGAGATGGGGTCTCTAAGGAAGTAATTTAAATCCACTGAGGTCATAAGGGTGGGTCTTTGGGGTTGATATCTAAGACAAGACACCAGAGAGCTGGCTCTCTTTCTCTCTCTAGGGATGCACCAAGGAAAGGTCGTATGAGGACATGGAAAGAAGGTGGCTGTCTAGAAGCCAGGAAGAGAGTCCTCATCTGAAACCAAATTGGCCAGAACTTGGATCTTGAACTTCCAGCTTCCAGTGCTGTGAGAAATAGATTTTTGTTGTTGAAGTCAACAACTGTGTGTTTTGTTATGGCAGCCTGAACTGACCAATACAATCTGCCGTATCTGATCTCTATTAGCTGTCTTCTATTTTCTTCTCATTTTTATTAGTCTGCATCCTACCAGCCTGAAGGTGAGAGAGTGAGAGTGACTCTTAATTATCCTTGCTTTAAAGGCAACAAAAGGGTGCCACCTAAACACGGATGCACTGCAAGCCAGGGTAGTAAATAACCTGGCAGCTATCACATAATTCTTGATTTATTCAACAAGTTTTTTTTTTGAGGGTCTCCCATTTGTCAGGCACCATTCCATGTGCTAGGATATGATAGCAGGCAGACTACATGAAGCTTGTATTCTAGTTTATTGTCTATTATGGTCAAAGAGAGCTTAAATGCCAACCTAAGCACAATATAAAAATAGTATTCGATGACAATTGAAGGCAGTTGAGTAAAGACTTGGAAGAGGAAAGAGAGAGAGCCAGGTAGCTATCTGTGAAATGAGAATTCCTGTCGTGAGATGGCCTGAGTGCACCTGGGGAACAGAAAAGAACAGAAAGCAGGTCAGCATGGTGGAAGGGTGACAGCCTGAACAGATGAGCTCAGAGCCTTAATGGGTGCAGGGGAAGCTGATGATGAGGGGTCTTTCTTGTAGGGCATTCATCACACTGTAGTTTTAACTCTGTGGGGGATGTGAAGCCTGGGGGGGTTGCAGCAAAGATGTGATCCAATATGTCTAATGTCTAACATTTTAACATGATTACCTGGGCTGTGGTGTTGAGAAAGGTCTGAGGAGCCGAGAAACTTTTTAGGAGACTATTGTGATAGTCCAGTCGAGAAATGATGGTGGATTTAACCAGGCTAGAGTAATGGCAGTGGCAAGAAGTGATCACATTTTGAATGTATTTTGAAGGTAAGATTCAAACAATTTGTTGACAGGATTGGATATGGATGTGAATGAAAGGAATTAAGAATCATCCCAAAAATTATAAACTCAGCAACCAGAGGATGGAGATGCCATCGGCTGAGGTGGGGAAGCTGTGGGAGGAAGGGTCTGGGGTTGGGGGATGGGTCACCAGGATCTTGGCTTTAGACAAATTAAGTTTGCAATATGTATTTGATATTCAAGGGGAGATGTTGAGTGAGCAGATAGTAAGCAGTAGTTAAGATGGAATCAATGACATGATGTGTGTCTGCTGGTGGGAAAGATATCTCAGAGATGGGAAAACTGATAGTGGAGAAGGAGAGGAGAGGTTTGCTGGAGTGACATTCTCCAATAGGTGAGAGGAGATGGAATGTGGTGTCCCTCCCAAAACTCAGGCATTTATTCAAACTAACAGGAAAAAGGCGGAGTTTGTAGCACAGATGCAGGGGGTGGGTAAATGTGATGTTTAGGAGCTTGTGGAAATTCTCTACTGACTACTTCAGTTTTTCAGTGAAAAAGGAAGAAAGGTGACAGCTGAGAGAGAAAATAGGTAAGGGGGTGTGAGAGGTTTGATGAAAAAGAAGATATGAAACAATGGTTTGGGAAAGCAAGAATGCATGGACTCAGAAACGATGGCTGAACTGCCTGCCAGTTGGAAGGGTCCCCTTTAAGGTTACGGTTGTGAATTTAAACAGAGACTGGCCTGTCTCCAGCCACAATCAGCTGAGCAGGTGCAGGCATGGATTAGGCAGAGAGCTGGAGTTTTGCCAAGCAAGGAAGACAAGGTGAGAGAGGGCCCATGGAGTGAAGGGTCTAACCAAGGGAGCAATTATCATGATGAACTACGAAGGCTGAGCTGTTACAGAAGAGCGATGACACGATGGGGCTGTGGGACCTTGAAAAGGTGGCGGATCAACAGATCGAGGTTCCCTGGGCTGGCAAAGGATTGCTGGAGTCATGGTACCAGAGGAAGTGAGCTGGTGTGAGAGGAGGTGGAGGCCAGAGAGTGAAATTCTTAACATGGAGACTGTAGCCACTGTGTCCTGAGTCCTCAAATCCAATTTACAGAAAGGCCTTTGACTAACAGGTAAAATCCATTAATTAATGAGAGTTTTAAAGTTTAAAAGTGCCCCCATGGCTGCAACTTCTGTTTGTTACTGTTTCCACAAGCAGAGGGCAGGCTAATAAAAATGTTACTGTATTCCTGGAAGTTAATGAATAATAAAACCACATGCCTGGAAGCAACTTCAAGAGGTCCTAGTTCAGATGATTTTACATTCTCCCACCAATTCTGAACATCTTGCGGAAGAAAATGCCACCACCCAGGTGAGTTGATCATTTGCTGCCGAACACTCTTGTTAGGGTTGTAGATTTTGTAAAACACTTCTATTGAATGAAAATCCTATGTCCTTTATTTTCTTTAGGGAAGAGAGAGAAGAGCAGGTCAACATTATTTGTTTAGTAACCCTTAACATTAGAAGGCAATTTTAAATTCGGATTTGGTGTGTGGTTTCACCTGGAAGAGAGGTAGCGAAAGACCTCTAATGGCAAGAGACAAAAAAATTGGTTAATGTGCATTGCGATGGAAATGTCCCACCCTTCATGTTAAAAAAAAAAAGAGAGACCTTTATGTGTCATTACAACGATAGCATGACATCTTAGCCAGAAAAACTGTGAGCCCCACATCTGAAAAAAAGATACAATTTATGTTTCCAAAACTGTAATGTCAATATATATATATTTTTAAAGTCCATACTGTTTCTGAGTTTGGAGCTGTCTCCTTGCTAATTCTTTGCATTGGCTTGAATTGTACTTGGAATTCTCTGATTGCCTGTTTGTGCCTGGGAACACAATTCTCCTTTCTGGTTTTGCAGAGATGTGGAGTAGGAGGGCTTGTTAGGGAACTTGTTACATTTTGAACCAGCTGACTCAGGTGCTCTTGAGGGGAAGTTTGTTCTGAGGAGAAACTCTATTATTATAAGGCCTTATTAGGGTTTTTAAGCCTTGGGCTTTTTGGCAGGTCAATGTGCTAAATCATTAAAAAATATGGAAAGTCAGGTAGAAAGTCTTTTCTCTTTATTTTTTAAAGCGTGGAAACACGCACACCAGACAGACTAACCAGAAATCAAAGTGGAGGGAAAAACAACTGCTTCTTAGTTGTTGCTATTGCCGTTACTGTTACTGCAAACTGTTGATGGTATGTTTCTGGTTCTGATTAAAGGTAAGTAGATTTTAAAAGGAAATTCCTTTTAATAAAGGGGCCTAAATAGTCCCAAATTCAAGAGAGAAGTGAGAACAAAGATTGATTATTCTCAAACTTACCTGATTTACTGCCGCAATAGGTACCTACAGAAACATTTTCACAAAATCCTACCTGAAAAGTATGAGAAGGGAGCCGTTAGGAAGAAGTATATGATTTCAAGGTGGTATGCTTCATGTGGTGAGAAGAGGATGGGACATGATTAGATGTGTAAAAGAGGAAGGTAAGAAGAGCTATAACAGACTAAGTTGAAAACTCATTTGAACTAGCTAAAGGGAAAATGAAACGGGAAGAAATAACTGCAACTTCCCATTCCCTGCCTCCCTACCCTGCAAACCCCTGGTAACCATCATTCTACTCTTTGCTCCTATGAGTTGAACTTTGTTAGATTTCACAATTAAGTGAAATCATGCAGTATTGGTCTTTTTGTGCCTGGTTTATTTTGCTTAGCATAATGTCCTCCAGATTAATTCACATTGTCACAATTGACAAGATCTTCTCCCTTTTAAAGGCTGAATAATACTCTATGGTGGACATATACCACATTTTCTTTATCCATTTATCTGTGGGATGGGGAGTAAGCTGTTGATCAAAGGGTACAAAGTTTCAGATAGACAAGAGGAATAGATTTTGAGATTTTATTGCACACCAGGGTGACTATTGTCAATAATAATGCATTATATAATTAAAAATAACAGAGTAAATTTCAAATGTCTTATTATAATTATAAAAAGTGACAGGAAAGCAAGGTGATAGAGATGTTAATCAGCTTGCTTTAAACATACCACATTGTATACACACTCAAAATATCACATTGTATCCCATAAATGTATACAATGATGAATTTTCTATTTTAAAAAGTGAAAAAAAGAAGAAATAATTGTGGTTGAATCTGAGGGACAAGAAATAGGGACTGGAATGACATTGGGACCAGATAGTGGCTCCCTTTTCCTCCCCTCCCCTCTCCAGCACCACATGGTCTTTTGCCTCGGTTTCTGTCTTCACTTTTACTTTCTCCCACCCACCTCACTTTCCTGTCATTGGGTGTTTGCTACTCAGCATGTGTTCAACATGGCTGCACCACTGCCCCTGAGTGCACATGTGCTGAGATGAGGGAATAGAGTAGCTAACTGACTTGCCTCTCTCACAATTCCAAATCACTGAGACAGAAATTCTGAGAGGCACCATTGTGATCTCAAGATGAGGCAGTGTCATCTGGTACAAACCAGAAGGCCAAATTTCTCCCTGTAGGAGGGGGTGGATAACGGAAGTTTTCTGAGAGGCCTGTGGGATGGGGTAACATCCCAGGTGTGATGACTTTATACTAGGTTGACTTAAATGGGGACTTTGGAAGACGTATAGTTTGCATCGTCCAGTTTTTTCGCACAACTGTGTTTCTGTTGACATGTTGAGCAATCTCTCTCCTGAGACTTGAGAGCATTTGGGGAATAGCATATATCACAGTTAATTGCTGGTTCAGGCTGGCTCTTGCCAGTGGATCACTATTCTGTCATACTCAAAAGACTGGGTGACGTGGTGTGAATTCACAGAGCTCACTGCTGGTAAACGGGGACCTGCTTGCCTTCTTCATCCCTCTTTTTCTTTAGTACAATGAATTAAAATTATTAAGTGGAGTTTATTTTTTTATCTTTGAACATATTAAAACTAATTTAGTAAATGTGTATTTAAATATATTAATTTTATTACATTTTAAAAATATTTGGGAACATTGCAGCACAAAGATTTTCAATAAATATGACCATAGGCCCATTTAGTAGCATATTTCTATGCTAGAAGTGTGATAAACTAAAAGAAAATTTGTATTTTTGGAAAAGATTTCTTGGGAAAGATTTCTGAATTTCATAAGTAACCTGGAAACTCTTTAGTGAACGAGTGGCTGTGTATTTCTGCATCTATTTGGATTAGTATAGTAACAAACGTGTGAAACCACATCATCTGCTGTGAGTCAAATATTGCTCTCTGGGGGCTGCAATATTTCACACATCCTCCTTTTTGAGGGTAAAAAGGGGAGGGGAGAGTTTCTCTCTTTTCTTAATAGAATATATGTTTTCATTTAATAGATTTTGGAAATAAAATTTAGGTCGTGTTTTTCTTCTCCAAGTTTAGCATGCCTTTTGGCTCACATATTTATCTTGCTAGGAAGCTTTTCAAAACTACTCCTTATTTTGAGATACCATCCTCAACTAAGAAGTAAACTGTGAAATTCTCTGTGGTTCTTTGATTTAAAACACTTGGAAGGCATTCCGTTTGTGTTTGCTTGTGTTGATATGTCTATATTTTAAACATGAAATGCTAGGTTCCATTTTCATTTAAATAGCATTTTAAAAAAAATTTTTTTGAGACAGAATCTCTGTCTTTCACCCAGGCTGGAGTGCAGTGGTGCAATCTCGGCTCTCTGAAACTTCTATCTCCCAGGTTCAAGTGATTCTTCTGCCTCAGCCTCCCTAGTAGCTGGGATTACAGGCACGTGCCACCATGCCTGGCTAATTTTTGTATTTTTAGTAGGGACGGGATTTTACCATGTTGGTCAGATTGATCTCTAGCTCCTGACCTCAAGTCATCTGCCTGCCTCGGCCTCCCAAAGTGCTGGGATTACAGGCATGAGTCACGGCACCTGGCCTAAATAACTAATTTTCTTGTGGGTGAGTTGTCAGGAGCATCTCAGTGAAGAACAGACAGGAAAGATGGCACATATTTATTTCTTCATTTTATTAATAAAGTGTTATGAAACATTAACCAAGATTAACCTATATTGGCATTATTAATATAATCCTCCTGACTATCAGCCCATTAGCAATAATGGGTAATATCTTATAGAGATAAATGACTATAAATATGAAAGTGGATTTGAGATGATATCAGAGTCTAGGTTATAGTAAGGATTTTCATCCCTGCTCTGTTAACACCTTGATGTACAGACTTGAACAGGATACCTAATATTATGGCGAGGTTCTTCTCATTCTATCTGATGAGAGAGAGAGTATCTAGTGGCTGATCTTTTCAGGGATGGAAATCTGCAAACTGAGTCATTCACGACACACTCTAACTGTTGGTGTTAAAGACATATTGACAGAGTAGAGATGTCAGGGACGCAGGTAGGCTGGCCAGCTAGACAGATTTTCACAGTGAAGCAGTAGTTTGATGGAGTTTCCATACCCTGGGACATGGGCCTCTGATTTGAAGGCAAAACATCTTGATTTCTTTTGCCATGTCTTCTGGACTTTATCAGGCTCTTCAGGTCTGGCTCATGTTAACTAAATTAACAACAATAACAGCAAACACCTGATTTCATTAAAATAAACAAGTTCTTAATTTCCAGAGAATATGCCCTTTCAACATTCAGATATTTGTTTCTGCCATTTAGGGATCCCAGTTTCTAGAACTAAGTTACCAGCAAGAACATATTTTTAAATAGAATACTGCTTGGAGATTGTGGAATCGGAGCAAAGATAATTGGATTTGTTTAAATGATATTTCAATGATGCTGTGGTGAATTTCCCCTGCTTCTCAATTGGGCATACTTTTTCTGTGACTCATCCTCTAGATTAAGCATCTTTTTTTTTTTTTTTCCCCGATTCGGAGCCAGGTAAATGCTGTCAAAATCTTGGACTTTGTGTTTCCATGAATTCTACATCCCATGCAGATTGTAGCCCTTCTGCCAACACATTATTTTATTAGGCCATAGCTGTCTTTAACAGTCAATCGTATTTTCCTGTAGCTAAGTAATGTTGATTGAACTTCGGGGTTCTAAATCTCTCTCAGCCACATACTTTTAGGCCATATTTTAAGGTGGGCTTCTTCCACAGATGGCCAATTTCATGATAGTAATAACTTCTGGCCAGGCACACTGGCTCACGTCTGTAACCCCAGCACTTTGGGAGGCTGAGGCTGAGGCTGAAGAATTGCTTGGGGCCAGAAGTTTGAGACCAGCCTGGGCAACACAGTGAGATCTTGACTCTAACAAAAATAAAAATAAATAAATAAATAAATAAATTAATTAATTAATTAATTAGCAGGGCATGGGGGCATACATCTGTAGTCCTAGCTACTCAGGAGGCTGAAGTGGAAGGAGGATCTCTTGAGCTCAGTAGGTTGAGGCTGCAGTGAGCTATGATCACTCCATTGCACTCCAGCTTGGGCAACAGAGCAAGACTCTGTCTCTAAATAATAATAATAATAATAATAATAATTACCCTTTTTGTAGCCTATAATATACCACCAGGCTCATGTTATCTTTGTTAGTTTTCAGACTGTGTATTATAATATCTATTTTTGAAGTAAGAAAATTGACACTCAAAGAGTTAAAAGGACTTGCTTTTTGTTACACAGCTTGAAGGGCACTGAGTTGGGATTGATTGACTGATTGATTTTTTTTTTTTTTTTTTTTGAGATAAGGTCTTTCTCTGTCATCCAGGCTAGAATGCAGTGGAGCCATCTCAGCTCACTGCAACCTCTCCTTCCTGTGCTCAAGAGATCCTCCTACCTCAGCCTCCTAAGTAGCTGGGACCACAGGTGTGCACAACATACCCAGCTAATTTTTATATTTTTTATAGAGATGGAGTTTCTCTATGTTGATTAGGCTGGTCTCGAACTCCTCAGCTCAAGCAGTCTGCCCGCCTCAGTCTCCCAAAGTGCTCAGATTATAGGCATCAGCCACTATGCCTGTCCCCAAGTTAGGATTTAAGACCAGTTCTGCCTGACTCAAAGCTTGTACCTTCTAATGTTGACCCCTCCTACTTTTACTTTCAGGGGATAACTAATATCTAAGTTTTCAGAGAACTCTACTTTCCCCTTGTATCCTGATTATAGTAGAAAAATCTATATTTTGGTATGTAATGCAGAGTATTTGTACCAATGTGACAGAAGTTCTATATGTCTAACATTTATTTAGCATTTAATATGTAACAGATATTATTGAATATGCTTAGCAAGCATATTTTCATGAACTGCCAGGGACAATTGTTTGAAGTTGATAGTATTATTATTAACAACATAGAGTTGAGAAGATTGAGTCACGGAAAAATTAAACTTCTTATAGTGACACAAGTTGTGACTCAAACTTATGCTGTCTGCCTAGTTTTGAGCTCTTACCTAGTATACTATACTGCCTCTTTGGTTAACAGAAACTTTAGATCTGAAGTCCAAAGATTGTATTGCCTGCCTTGTGTGGACATAGAAGGTTTGTTTAATAAAATCGATAGG